GGACTTGGGGCTCAGCAAGATACAAGTTGCAAAGGCAGTGGCAGGTTGTCCGCAAATTCTTGGATATAGCATTGAGCAGAATTTGAAGCCAACTGTGCAGTGGCTGCTGGACTTGGGGCTGAGCAAGACACAAGTTGCAAAGGCAGTGGCAAGTTTTCCACAAATTCTTGGACTGAGCATTGAGCAGAATTTGAAGCCCACTGCAGAGTGGCTGCTGGACTTTGGGCTTGGAACGGAGCAACTTGCGAAGGTAGTGGCACGTTTTCCACAAGTTCTTGGATTGAGCATTGAGAAGAACCTGCAGCTGAAGTCCGCATTGCTCAGATCATACTTCCCCTCTCAGGAACTTGTAAAGCTCGTTGCCTCATTTCCTCAGGTCTTTGGCTACCGCTACAGCCGCTTGAGCGAACGGTTGTCCATTCTGGCAGCTCGAAACGAGACTTCCAAGCTTGCAGGTGCCCTGACAAAGCCGACCGACAAATTCATTGATATGTATGTGCGCCGAGCGGCGCCCGGGCTTGATCTCCAAAAGGCTGAAAAGGGCGCAGGATGAAGGGGGAATTGGGGGCAATGGGCAAACGAAGCGTCTCAAGATCAAACGAAGCACAATGCTGCCCTCCGCCTAGTGTTTGGAGAGAAATTCCTGGTCTACAAGGGCACGTCTTGAACCCGACAGCAGAAAACTGCTCCGAGAAAACTGGCGTGAGACGTTGCCCACCGGGGCTCTGAGCTTCTCTGAACGAACTACAGGCCATTTCGTTCCCTGAGATGATACCTCCCCAAACCCACTCAGATCGACCCAAACAACCGACTCAGTCGGCCATCGACGGCGTCGTGAAACCGGCTCGGCTCCGCGCGACGCCAAGTGCGATCGGCGTGAGGTCGTCCACTTTTGGAGAGAAAGCACTTGGAGATGCGAAATCATGGACAAGCACTTAAGGCTTGGAAAAAAGTGACTTCAAGTGATGACACAATGAGATGGATAGATTGAAATGATTTGAAATGATCTTTCAGGAGAAAGAATGGCAAGAAACAGCAGTGAAGACAGGTTTCAACCGGACTCTCCAAATGATTTCTTGTCAATGAATGAGTGAATGAGTCTTGTCGACATCATGTCAGATGTTTAGACTCGGTGTTAGGGGAGCCAATCCACTGGGCCTCAAGTAGTGCCTTTGGCGAATTATGCGAGTTCTGCGGACAGAGATCTTCAACACCCTCGCCCAGCCTCTACAACTGGTACAGATGACACTGGTGGTTTTGGTTTGGTTTAGTGTCACACGAGGTATCCACAAAACCATCAGTCTTTAGAACGCTTTACACGGTGCACCACGTCCGGTACGGTACACAAATCTCTTCCGAGGGGCTCCGACCGTTGTTTGGTTGTCTTTTTTTCAACTTGCGCAGCCGTGAGATGCTGTGAGGCAATTGTGCCAGAAGCACTGGGGCACGCGCTTTGTGAAGATCAATGCAGAGAAAGCACCATACTTGTCAGAGCAACATGGCAAGAGGCTGCCAGGTTCGGAAGCGCCCAGGGGTCCAGGCCCACACTACTGAGCTGGAGTGATATTTGGTAAAGTTTATGGTGCTGGAATTCCTTTCTGAATGTAGGCAGTACATGAGGGGAGGTGCATTGATTTTCATGAGTCATGCTCGTCCCACAGCCGACATGTAAATTGCTTCGTGCATCCACATCCCTGTCTAGCGGAAAAAGAAGATCGACGCCTCTACTAGTAACTAGTACGTAGCTTCTTGCTACTAGTATGCCCTTGTTACTAGCTACTAGTAGCGATGCGCTTTGTTACTAGTAGCTTCTTGTTGCTGTATAGCCTGCTGTTGGCCAAAGAGTAAGACTGGAAGAGGTGCTTTACCACAGGTTTCTTGCCTCAGGTTCATGAACTATTGATTGCACTCTGCCAGAATGTATAGCTATTCAGATATTCATCATTATTCATCCAGTGAATCCAGTGGAATAGAATATGGTATGTTTTCAGGTATGACGGTATGACAGGTTTCTGTCCTTGTGGAGTTCCTTCAATCGTCAACTTGAGAATACGCATTCCATCCAAGGCGACTACACATTTGGTGCTTGCCCTCTCTTGTCCTTTGCGTGGACCGGGATGTCCAAAGAGTCGTGTGTGACAGACGTGTCGATCACGGCCACCTCCTGCCCCACTTCTTCCTCTGTGGGGCATTGACCATATGAAGGCGCATAGAGGGTTGGACCAGAGTTTGGCCCCTACGCCCCAGTCATTTCACCTAGTGGGATGAGATTTCGGTTGTTGTGTTTTATTTGCCCACCGAACACATCCCAGCCGTCGGGCCTGCACCTTTGATCTCATTTGGCCACCAAGCAAGCTGCTAGGACCACCCGCCCCCAGATATGGAAGGGTTCAAGACCTTCACACCCCCTCATTGACAACAAGTCCAAGCCATGCTTGGGCCAAGATGTTTCAGCTGACCCCTGTGAATAGAAACGATGCCATCCAAGACATTTGCTTTTTGAAGGGAATCACTTTTCTGTTCCTTTGGAACATCACGATTGACTTAAGATGAATGATGAAAGAGGAGGGTAATTATTCATCCACGGAGTCCATGGCGCAGGACGGCAAGACGGAGCACACCGTGGTGGGCTTCAGCGAATTCAAGTCAGGGGATGAGGCGGAACCGGGCGAAACCAGGCGGAACCGTGAAACAGGAGTTTGAAGAAGATAGCATCAAGAGACAGATCCTTGCTGGTTGGAGCCATAAGATGTTTTACATGGTTTGGAATGGTTGGGAAGAAGGTTTTCTGTTGATTGTGTCTTCATTCAAGTGTTCTGCTACCTTTGTTCTTCTTTATTCCTATTGTGGGAGAGTACACTACTTGGCGATTGCTGGTCTTTGTGACAGGAAGACCGCGCCCGAAGACAAACATCACTCTTGCAGCATGTCCCTCTGCGAAACCAGCAACACAGGTGTGTATATTTTAATAGGGAGAAGGCCCTGGCCTCATGGGTAGACTGGTCTTATTTCTTTTCTTCTAGCGGGTCAAACTGGGAGGTCTCCCTATATTCTTTACAAACCCGACATGGAAAGGTTTGGAGTTTCTACAGCACATGCGAGATGGGTGGTGCAAAGCGATCAAAGGATCCACCGATCCACCAGCTTGAGAAGAATCTGAACGCACAGAGACTGAAGGAGCTTTTGGCACGTCTTGCGCGATTAGATTCAACCACCAGACCCTTGCACGTTCAACCCCTGGTGGACCCACGTGTACCTTCACAAGAGCCGAGCGCTGGGTTTGACGTCAGCCTTGGTCAGGTCACAACAGAGGAGCTCGAGGAAACCCTTGCAAAATGGGGTGTGCCTGGGTTGCAAAGGTCGCTAATGTTGGGTTCTCCCCACATCCAGCAGCGGTCCCCAAAATAGACACCCATTTCATTGGTTTTTCATAATTTGTTGTTCTTGAAGTTCGTCGCAGGGTGCGTCGCGGCTTTGTGTTTTTGCATGGAAATGTGTGTCGAAACATAATCAAGGACTCTACATGTGGTTTCTCAGGATAGAAATTACTGAAGATTATGTGATGGGAAGATCTATCATGATAGGTATACTTCATATTCCCCCATGAGGTGGTTGTTCACACCTTAGGGATATGTGAGAAAGCCCGGGCACGTGAACAGATCAGCGTTTTACTATGGTTTGGACCATGCATCAAAAGAACATGGGATGAACTTCCAGTATGTTGGGGGGTTGGAACCCAACCAAATCGCACCGAGAAAGTTGCTAGAGCCAGATCCCAGGTCATCAAGTATGACTGTTGAGCAGATGGCTCAAGCACTGCTGGACTGAGTCCTTGTGAATTTCGGATCTTGTCTTGGCGCGCCACAAAAGAGAAGAGAAGAGAAGCCTGCCATTGCAGTCTTGCAGGGGTGGCAGTGGCCGGTTGATCTCAGTCCACTTGAAAACCATGCTACCAAAAGACTGACTCTTTTCAACCACCGCAAGAAACCTCCCAAGATGAACTAAGTAAAGGCCTTGTCATATGGAACTTGGGCGTAAGCAAAAACCTGAAGAGCGTAAGGTTGCGTAAGGGAGTTGTGAGACATGCATGTTGCGTAAGCTTGCCATATGTTTGTGTTTTCATTAGTAGATTCTTAGCACACACTTGTCAAGAAAGGAACTGTATGGACCATGAGAGCTTTGAAACCCTTGGGAACTGACATTTGTGCGCACTGTGTTTCAGGTGTGTGCACTGTGCTTGTTTGTGTTTGCCACTCTGTATCAAACCTTTCTCAAGTCAGCCCAGTCATAACATGTCATAACATGCCAGGCTCCGTTTGGTGAGGGTTTGGTGGCGTAAGGTTCGCGTAAGCTCCACATAAGGTTCGCGTAAGCCAACTTTTCATTTGCCTACAGCAGTAAGTAGATGCTAGTGATCCTTTGCTTCCTTTGCTTCGGAGTCTTAGTGATCATGTGTTTGTCGCCCGCTCACCTGCAAACAGGAGCCTTCGCGTAAGCATTTCCCTTTGGAGTATGGTTCTCATCTGTGAAAATGCAGATGCGTAAGATCTGCGTAAGGTCTTCTTCAACATCCGTGGCGCGTAAGCTCACATTGTGGTCGCGTAAGAAAGGCGTAAGCAGGAGCGTAAGAACGTTATGCGACATAGGGGTTTAATCATACGTATTTTGCAGAGCTCAAGTTCTACCCTGGTACCACGCGCGCCAAGAGGTTTTTTTCACCAAGGTCCACAGTGTCCCGGGCACGGAAGCTGCCAGACTCACAATTCGTAGGGGAGCTGCAAAAAAGCACCAGACGACGAGCAATTCGGCTGTCAGACAGAGCAGTTCGGTAGGATCTATTGCCAACTCGATGCATGCGGGCATTCGGAAAGTCAGAGACGCCTTGCTGAGATGCAAAAAGGTCGAAAAAAGATAACACAACGTTCAGGCGATCGATGTCGTTGGTCAAAAAACACACAAAAAAAAGAAACAGGAATATGTTTGCAGACCTTGCATGAGCCATGAACCGATCACGTGTGATCCGGTCGGGTTTTTGATTCCCCAGATTCCGCAGAGGTTCGACCCGATGTGTTGGCGTTTTTGGGGCTTTCTGTGGTGGCTCCAAACACGTTTGCCCATGAGTGAATATAATAAGCAAGGGACGAGACCCTGCAAATCCTTTAGTCGATCTAATCCAATCTAAGCCATAGTCATCCTGACGTATAGATTCATGTTGGGGATGACCATATTCTACCCAACGATGCCCATGTACAAGCATATATTGGGTTGTTGAGTGGGTTGTTGCTTTGTACCATAGTTCTTGAATTTCTCAACCACCCTCTTCGCTTTCTCATGAGAACCCTAGCACCCGTTGCCCACTCTCTCTCCGCTCTCTCTCCGCTGTTCGTGCCCCGGACGCCGAGAGGCGGTGCGCCGTGCACAGACGCAGCTCACGGAGGTGCTGGACACCTTGACCGAGGATGATCGCAAGGTGCCCGAATGCTTGCGAACGACGACGTCTCCTGGTGCCGATCTGATAATGGCAGGGAACCAGACCGACACCGAGGTTTCGGGGGTGTTTTTAGTTCACCAAGACGGTTTTACAGGAGGTCCCTCCTTTCTCGCTCCCCCTGCCAGGGTAGACGGATCTGTTTTCCGAGCCTTCCAGGACATCGAAGTGGGAGGCCGATATGCGCCAAGACATCCACGACATGGAACACTATATAGGTCACCATGCCTTCTTGTGATCCATGTGAGTCTGTTTGAACTGAGTAGTATATAATCATATTTACTCCTGTGCAAAACTTGGATGTTCATCGATTTTGACAGGTTCAGGTGTCGCGGTGTCGCCTCTCAAATGCCTCTCAACTCTATCAGATCGTTGGCGTTTGTTTCACGCGTTTCACGTCTCGCCACGACGTGACATGGTGCCACTGCTGATCGGACGATCAGCAGTGGCATCCGCATGTTAGTGTTGCTCGACAACTCAGAGACGACCACTCTCGGTCTTTTGACTGCATGACATGAGTTGTTTCCGTCCACCCCCAGCGGTGTGGAAAAGATCCTTGCAGAAGCAGACTAATGGCCCAAACTGGCACGAAGCTGGTTGAGGGCTGTTGAGCATTTATTTCATGATGGGAAGCCGTGCGCTCCGAACCGGTTCCAAGCTCCGGGTGTTGGATCCATCCAAGAATTACATAGCCCGAAGATCGGCAAAAACTGCAGGTCATGGTCTTTTCCTTGCAGCTGGGGCCTCGGAGCGAGAGAGATGGAGAAAGCCACGTTTCTTCTGGGCCTAGAGATGGCCTTGAGGTCTAGCGTGAGACCTGTTGTTGGACCGTCCACCCTGTACCTCGAAACGTAGCAAAAGGTTGGATACATGAGGTACCTAAGAACATTTTATGGACAGGAAGTGTTGTACAATGTGGCTCAAATCTGGGGGAATCTCTCTTGGTGCTTTCCATGCCTCCTCAGATGCAAAAGCTTGGCCTGAAGTTGCCAGGTTCTTGCGCGAGCGAGAGGAGCGCGCCGCTGCTGAAGTGGCGGAGCGAGTCTGGAACTCAGCAGGGAATGGCATTCTCATGCTTAATATCCTGCCCAAATCTGTAAGAGAAGGCATCCGATTCTTGCACGCCTATTCTTTTTCACTTGAATTGTGTGTCTCATTTTTGCGTACCATTCACCTTTCGATCTTCCAGGTGTCTCTCAACATGTTGTGTCCTTCAAGAGCAAAGCTGGTCGCAAAAGGTCCAATGGGGAGGTTCCATGTTGGCTTTGTTCTCGCAAACAACTTCGCAAGTTCCAAGTTCCTCAGCCATCCTCAGACGACCAGTGGTTTGCACAGCAGTTTTCGCAAGGCCGAGCAGCACCGAACCGCAGGTGGCGCCCCGAAATGCCGAAACAGGGTGACGAGGAGTGCTATAGTCACTCACAAGTGAGCTATAAGTACTTTGATAGGGCTTGCTTCTTTTTCTGCATGACCAGAAATGATCCATGAAGTGACCGTTCTTCGTGTGAAGATGGTGTGGATATGGGGCCCAAGCGAATCCAGAGCGGATGGCACCCTTGCCTGATTGACTGTCTCAAAGCCATTTCATCAAAGGGGCTTTGAGGTCAAACAAGCGGCAGGCATGTTAAATTTGTTATATGGGTCCCACGTTGTGTGATATTCAACTTGTCGGGCAGATGAATTCCGTGAGAGACTCCAAATGTGTTACCTTTCTGTGTACGCCGTGTTTCAGTGTTTCTGATAGAAAAAGCTGATCAAGTTGAGGTGGTTCTGCACTACAAGATCCCCAAATATTGGCACTATAGGAGCCTAGGCCATTGGCTATGCTTACTACCCGCTGCAGGCCCCCTCCCGCCGTCGCCACCGGGGCACCCCAGCGTGGAAGAGCTCACTCGACGGGTGGATGCGATCCGCGCGGAGAAGGCGCAGTGGATCCGCGAAGTCGATGGACGCTGAGTGTTTTTCCCCAACCAAGTGCCAACCACCAATTGTCCGCTCCTGTGTCTGGTGAAGTTGTTAACATGTGGGGACTCATGTGGGGTTGTCCGGTCCGATAATTTTTTGGGGTTGATGACAAAGAATAGCGGTGGGTGAGTGAATTAGAGAGGTAGATGAGGAGGGGGGTTGGCTCAATTGGTATGTTTTTGTTGGTTGGAGTTGTTTTGTTTTTGTGGCGTGTGCTTTTTTGGGTTTCCATTTTGTGAGTCGCACAATAGCTTACGCGTGTTTTGATGGTTTGAGAGTCACACTGTTCTTTAAATGCAATAGCTTGCCACATGATTTTGCTTGCTCCCCCTTTGCGCCGCAACAGGACGAGCTGGCCAGCGAGCTAAGAGCCCTGCAAGAGATCTCGCAGCGTGAGAGAGATATCACCAAGGAGAGCGACCGTGTGGGAAGCACGCAGCACTCTCACCACGGAACCGTGAAGTTGTTGGTTTTTGAATGGTTGGATGATCATGTTGGATATGTTTTGATCCACTGCCTTTGAAAAGCAAAAGAATGAGAAGGGACCTCCTATCATAAAATGGGCTGCACCCAATGGACCTGTGCTTCCACTAGGTTACTTTTGGGTCCAGTGGTGAAAAGACTCCGCAATACTCCGCATATTGATCCCAGGTCTCAGGCCACATGAGCATGTCACCCCCCCCACACACAAAGCCAATGACCGAAGGCCCTCAAGTCTGCACATAACAAGCCTAAGCACTTGCTCATTCCATCCAGAGATTCATCACATGAAGTTGTTGGGCTCCACCTGCGGGTCGCATATGGGGATGAGGATCTGCGGAAGATGCATCAGATGGACTTGGAGGAGATCGGAAGCCACATGCAGGCCTGATAGCTTCCTAGCATGCCGTTGTTTTTGCGCGACATCAACCCATTTTGGGGGCAGGTCATACGTAAGCTGATGGATCGCAATTGATATTAATGTTCTAATGATATTCCCTACTACTATACGGAAACGTTGGTTGTTTGCAGGTGAGACTGATAGTTTGAGCGAAGCCACTTGACGAAAGAGTGAGTCCGAGTGGCCGCCAAAATAGCGGTCCTCAAACGACACCAATTGTTTTTTGTTCACTGTCATTGATATTTTCTGTTGCTTGCTCAGTCATTTGCTTTGGCTAAGTTGGACTGAGTTTGGGATCGACAATGCACTACGCTGTTTCACCTTCACCTGTCATCGGTTTGGTTCAAAACCAAGGAAACCTGAACAAACACACATGCACCAACACCGCAACAACATGGAAGGTGAACGTCCCATCCCCAATTGTTCAGAGATGGCCACACCAATATCCTGAATGTGAAGACCTCTCATTTTGTAGAGCTGCCACATGCTGCTGTTTGCAGGTGACAATGTCTGAGATAGAACGCTTCCAAAAACTGGCTGTGGACCGGGAGGAACGAATCAAGGACAGAAGTGGCTCGTCGTGTTTGTATTGACGCATGTTCTTTGTTTGTTTGTTTGTATTTGCCCACAGATTGTACGAAAATTGAGTCAACATTCTTGGGTGTTCTTTCTTTATCGGAAAACTCGCAAAAGGGAATCTGGTGGAAAAGCACTTGGAATCCAAGGCCAAGAACTATATCGGCGAGAAACACAATGCACATCCATTGATCACTTCCAAGCAGAAATAGACGAGTGGTTTTCAGCTGCGGCAGCGAAGATCACCCCAAAAAACAGATTCTTGAACTGCACGTCGTTCATGATGTGAACGGTAAGTAGAAACTCCCCGTCCCGGCCTGGACGGGGTCATTGTCTCCGAATTCTGCGACGGAAGGAGCTCCAATTGCGCTTAGTGAAGCGGAAGGAGCAGCGGCTGGTCAAGGCCTGGCTTTGAGTTCTTCTCGTCCCTACTGGTGCATCGGCTACGATAGTTGTAGTATGTTGTGATGGGGGTATCTGTAGATCTTTGTTTGTTTGTTGCTTGGTCCAGCATCAATTCGGTGTCATTCTGGTGGTAGCGAGTCCCCAAGAAATCCTCCTACGAACCAATGAACCATATCCAAACACATAACACTTTTAGAAAAGCATAGAACACCAAGAGAAGACCTAATTCCTTCGCGTTTGCTGCGGCTTTGTGCTGTGACGAACCCCACCGAATCGTGGTCGTTTCGTCCGAACCTCGCCCGCAGCCCACCGCCCTGGGCGAGCGCCCGGGCGACGTGCTCAGCGAGGGCGGCTTCACCAAGCTACTTGGGGCGAAAGCGGTCTGGGGGAAGGAGGACTCTGGGGAGAAACCGAGCCACTGGGCTCCACGAGGTTGCCTCCATTCTATAAAATTATAAACAATTGCACCGAATTGCACCTAATTTTAATAATATGCCTATGCTGCAAATGTCTACTATGCGCAGGACATTTGCCTTTTCTAAGGGGGGTGTAAGACTTGAACTGTTTGCCTTTTGCATTCCTTTTCGCAGAAGACAGTGATTGAAGGGCCTCGAAGATTAAAAAATGCTTGGGAGATGAAACAGAACGACCTTCACCAAACTAGTTTCTGACATGTTTCCACGAGCCATCGTTGCAACCGTGGCGACAAGAGTGCGACCGACAGTTGGTTGTGATGTGCCATTCTGCCGTGCTTGTGACACTGGTCAATGGATGGCAGCATAAGGCTCGAAGCAGGTGGCCAGTCCCTGGCACTAATTCGAGCGGGCTGCTCCGTGCACATGCGAAACATTCGGCGACCACTTCTGGGCTTGTTCTTGTTGGCTTTGCCACTGGCCTATGTGCCAGCATGGTGGAGAAATGGATGGCCCAGAGACAGAGTGGGGAGTTTGGCGGAGGTCGAGTTATTGTCGCAGCTGGCTGCCGTCCTCATGCCGTCTGAAGAGATTGGAGAGCTTTTCCGAAGCTTTCCCGCAGCGCGAGGGTGGGGCGGGCACGCCTTGGAGCCCGATTTGGCAGCTTATGGCGTTCTCAGACACAGGAACGCCGCGCTGTTTGTGGAATATGATGGCTTCTGGAGGCATGGGGAAAAGGAAGGCATTGCAATGGATCGGAAGAAGAATGCGGCATTATTAACTTATGCACCCAAGGGATCTGTTGTTGTCCGAATAACCCACACCTTGCACAAACCTCTTTTGCAAGAAGGTGTTCTTTGGGTTCGAGTGGATAAATGGCGTCAAGGAGAAGAGCAAGCACTAGCAAACGTCTTGCAAAACCTCCTTTCGCACGTGGCAACCAGGCTCCAACAGGTTTTGCGGCCGAGTGTGTTGAAACAGATCCGGCTGCAGATACTGAGCGATCAATGGACTTTCTCAGAGGACAGCCAGAGATTTGTAATGAAAGCTGCAGCTTTGTTGGGAAGGAACTCAAGTCAAGAGATTGCAAGCTATTTTGCTAGTGAAGGCTTCAGCGCACAAGACATCCAGTTGATGGAGATGGCTTCTAAGTCGTATGCCCAATGCATTCATGGGACCCTGAAACCAAGAATACAGTGGCTTTTGGGGCTGGGGCTGAAAAAGAGAGAAGTTGCAAAGGCAGTGGCAGGTTTTCCGCAAATTCTTGGATACAGCATTGAGCAGAATTTGAAGCCCACTGTGGAGTGGCTGCTGGACTTGGGGCTCAGAAAGATACAAGTTGCAAAGGTAGTGGCACGTTTTCCGCGAATTCTTGGACTTAGCATTGATCAGAACTTGAAGCCCACTGCGGAGTGGCTTCTGCACTTGGGGCTCAGCAAGATACAAGTTGCAAAGGCAGTGGCACGTTTTCCGCACATTCTTGGATATAGCATCGAGCAGAATTTGAAGCCCACTGCGGAGTGGCTGCTGGACTTGGGGCTCAGCA